AATATCAATATGGACCATAAGCATCACTTGGCCACTGAGTGTAGTTTGGGCTCCTCCTCAGTGCATCCTATAAGTGTTGTCATATGTCTTTCACACATTCAGTCTGTTTTTCTTCATTAGAAAAATGCAACTTTGTATAGGAGGAGTTGAATCATGTAGACAACAGGTTAAGTAAAAATATTAACATTCAATAGCGCATAAATATAGCAAAATGCTCCTCTTTATAGTTATTTTTCTAGCTGACTGATGAGCTTATGGACACCTGATGGTTATTCTGAGGTAAATGTATATTACGTTGCAATGTTTACAAGCTTTGCAGGTTTTCTCAGTTTGAAACGCTGAATGAGCTTTTACATGAGACATTTCAGTTGTTCAAGTTGTGCACGAAATAGACTCTGCTTTTATGCACTTTGCACATCTCCGTCATGTCGATCTCTCTCGCGCTGCACAACTGAGCTGCGTTTAGCAGACCGTGTGCTGCAGAGACGAGGACTGTTTGAAACGCTCTTTTCCACTAAAACGTTGATGCGCATCGTCTCAGTTTAATACGTGATATATTACGTTGCAATGTTTACAAGCTTTGCAGGTTTTCTCAGTTTGAAACGCTGAATGAGCTTTTACATGAGACATTTCAGTTGTTCAAGTTGTGCACGAAATAGACTCTGCTTTTATGCACTTTGCACATCTCTGTCATGTCGATCTCTCTCGCGCTGCACAACTGAGCTGCGTTTAGCAGACCGTGTGCTGCAGAGATGAGGACTGTTTGAAACGCTCTTTTCCACTAAAACGTTGATGCGCATCGTCTCAGTTTTTATACGTGAACATAGCAAATGATGCGATCGCAAAACAATCAGGAAAAAAGCCATTGCATGCAAATGTTTAAGTCATAACGTGTAAATATATATAGTCGCCAGTGGCGACCTCAGCAAAAACTTCACTCGCAAATTAATATTTTTGGTTGCAAATGCGCAGCCAAAATCGCAGTCTGGAGCCCTGATAATGTGTTTTTTGAACCTTAAACCGCATAAACACATTTCATTACACTAAATACACTAAATAATGTTCTTTTTAGCAACATCATATGACCCCCATATTTTGAATTTTGTGATCATTCTAAATATATTTTAATAGATTGAATCATGCAGTGAGAGAACACACTCTAAATGCACACTAGTCTAACCTACTAGACTTCATCACTAAATGTATGCGTGCACTCCGTAGGTGTGTTTTGTTTGGTTTTTAGCCTACTCCTTAATGTCAAATCACACACTGTTAAAACAACAATCAGGATATTGTATTGCACACCCCTACTTCAGACAGCAGTATACTCACAGTCTGTCCTCCTGAGCTGCAGTGGGCTTCTTCTCTCCATCTACCGGAGCGGTCCGGACTCCTTGAGAGCCGGGACACAGTCTGGATTTCGGAGTCTGCCGTTGAACCGCAGGCTTGGCCTGGCTGGAGATCTTAGCGGGCCGGTGAAGCTCTGGAGGCGCACTGGTCGTCTGCGGCAGAACACAACTCCTGGAGCTTCGACCGGCCGGTTTGGTAGAAGCAGCGGCATTATTTAGTTGTTTATTTTTGATGACCGCCGCTGCTGCTGCTTCTCTATTCGCAGGTTTAGAGCGAGTCGAAGAGGTGCTCGCCCTCGTCGCTCTGATTGTGTCAGAGCCATTTGATTTTGTTTTAGTGGCATCTACGAAGAAAGTATCTTTTCTCCGGTTCACGTCGGATCTGTTCGTCGATGGGTTTGGTTTCCGGTTGCGGCTGTGCACAGCACTCGGACTTCTGGGTTGTTGCATGGGTTTCACTTGGGTTTTAGAAACACCGTTTCTCTGCATTTTTGTCTCGGTTGTATTCATTGGTCTTTGACTTGTCAAATTGGCAGCTGAGGTTGATTTGACGCTCGTTTCAGGTAATTTCTTTGACGTTGACTGAATGTCCGTCTTGGTGCGGCTCTGATCCGTGCTTCTGAGGGCAGAGACGCCACGTGCAGACTGTGAAGGGTTACAGATGGAAACAAGACTGGATTTGCTTGTATTTGCAGCATGGGATTGGGAAGCTGGCTGAGCTTTGGGTTGGACACTTCGAAGGCGTTGTGAACGAGTCCTCTTGAACGGCGCAGCTGTTTTCTCAGCATTGTGGGGTTTCTTTGGATTTTGAAGAGAAGCTGTTTTGTTGCTCTGTGTCCTCAAAACACGACGGCCTTCCCGGCTAGCATTACGGGAATTACTGGACAGCTGTGTTTGGGCTTTGGCTAGCGAACTCATACCAAGTCCTTCTTTTGAGGATGTGTTTTTATCATCCTCTGCCAATGTCTTCACTCTCTTCACTTCTTTTATATTTGTGCCATTGATGCCACAATTCTCCTTTCTTTCAGCTGTCTGAGAGAACCAAAGAGACATAGTGCAGACTTTCATCACACTGACCGAATGCGGCAAAGTTTCACGAAATGTATCTAACTTACAGTTTTGGACTTCTGGTTATTTTCAGCATGTTTCTTTGTAACAGGCTTCTCCTTGAGATATGGTCTTTGAGTAAAACAATAAAAAAAAACAGTCGATTCAGAACATAAACACGCTAAGGCAGTTCAGAATGCGGAAAATAGGCTATGCATTTTTTATTTTAAAATTGGAAAAAGTATAAATTCAACAATTGTTACAGACGGAAAGACCCTTCAAGACCACCTACTTTGGATTAGGTGCTTTCAGTCTGCCTTTGGCCGCAAGGTATTCTGCCAATTTCAGTTTGCGTAGCTCTGTAAACCAAAGAGAAACACGTTTGCAATTTAACATTGCATGCATTTAATAAGTGTCACATATGTATATTTTGTCTTGTAACTTTCTTCACACATAATAATATATATATATATATATACACACGAGTCAGCTTAATATTATATTTTTTTATATAAATAGCAGTGTAATATGCAGGACAATAATGTAGTCACACAGAAATTTGATTTTTCAATATTTTTTCTGTAGTAAGAAAAACATATATATATATATATGTCACAGACACAGATGTATATTTACAGAGTAATCCACTATTTTTGTAGAGTGGGGTCAAAATTACAAGAGATTTGGAGCCAATTTACTGGTGTATAAAAATAACTTCAGAAAGATGGCAGCATCGTTATTTTATTTTTATGCAGAGACTGGTATGTCTTTTAGTCAAATCTGTTGACTTTAGTAATATTTGTTTCATTATATGATAACAGTGACAGCTCAAAAATGGCAAAAAGCACTTCTTGTGTTTTTTTTGCCTTAAGTTTGCATGCCTGTAACTCAAGAAGTATTAAAGATATCTTAATAATTAATGCGGCTGCATGAGGAATTGGTAAATTGTTCACATATTCAGCAGTCAAAAACCAAACGTGGGTCACTTTGCATTTCACCGGATACTTTTTTATTTTAAAGAGCAATATCTGAAGAACAAATAATGTTGAAACTAGAAATGCATCTCATTTGTTTCTCTCAGCTCAATTAAATCGAACACAACTGCCTGTAAATGCCATATATTATCTTTTTCTAAAATATAATACAATATTATATTTTTTTATATAAATAGCAGTGTAATATGCAGGACAATAATGTAGTCACACAGAAATTTGATTTTTCAATATTTTTTCTGTAGTAAGAAAAACATATATATATATATATGTCACAGACACAGATGTATATTTACAGAGTAATCCACTATTTTTGTAGAGTGGGGTCAAAATTACAAGAGATTTGGAGCCAATTTACTGGTGTATAAAAATAACTTCAGAAAGATGGCAGCATCGTTATTTTATTTTTATGCAGAGACTGGTATGTCTTTTAGTCAAATCTGTTGACTTTAGTAATATTTGTTTCATTATATGATAACAGTGACAGCTCAAAAATGGCAAAAAGCACTTCTTGTGTTTTTTTTGCCTTAAGTTTGCATGCCTGTAACTCAAGAAGTATTAAAGATATCTTAATAATTAATGCGGCTGCATGAGGAATTGGTAAATTGTTCACATATTCAGCAGTCAAAAACCAAACGTGGGTCACTTTGCATTTCACCGGATACTTTTTTATTTTAAAGAGCAATATCTGAAGAACAAATAATGTTGAAACTAGAAATGCATCTCATTTGTTTCTCTCAGCTCAATTAAATCGAACACAACTGCCTGTAAATGCCATATATTATCTTTTTCTAAAGTTTGCATGCCTGTAACTCTGAAAGCATTCAAGATATCTTCCTATCCTTCTAGATTCTCATTCTTAATCCACTTTTCTTTTGGAAAATTCACTTTTAAGGCCCCATATAGTTTATTTGCTAGATATGGGAAGTTCACAGCAACTCCACGTTCAAATTGTTGGCATATAATAAAACAAAGATCACTAAAGTCAACAGATTCTACTAACAGATGTACCAGTCTCTGTGTAAAAATAAAATAATACTGTCATCTTTTTTCTCAATTTTTACACCCCTGTAAATTGGCTCCAAATCTCAGGTGAAAATTGTCTTTTTTTCAGCCAAAAAAAGTTGATTGCTCAGTAAATATACATCCATGACATTTAATATTTTGGATTTCATCACCATATGTGCTTATATTATATAAAATACACATATATAAAACATAAAAAAAATAAAATAAAAAAAAGTTGTTCCAAACGCTAGCACTTAGCATTAGCATTAGCATAACACTTTAAATGAACTACTAAAGGCAAGAAGGGACATTATTTCAGGATTTGTGATCTTTTTGACACAATTGTAGGTTTATAAAGCTGTTTCCCTGATGGAAACATGATCATACACCACCAGCAACTAAATATAACATCTTTCTGAAATATAAACATAACGTTACAGCTCTTTCACAGCCGCGCGCAAACACATCGTTTTGAACAACAACCCAAATGATTTTCCAAAATAAAATCGTAACACAACACTGTAATTGACTGTATAAAAATAAACGCATGTGAAGCAATACAAACAGTAACGTTAAATATCTCACAGCGCGCATGATACATAGGACTAGCCTAGCCTGGTGTAAACTTAGCGCTTTAACTTACCTATCTTAGATCGTTTAGATGCGTCTTCATCCGTCACAGTTTCCATCGCTTTATCCGATCACTCACACCAAATATTTAATCAAAATAAATACAGCGTTTGTTCATAACTTCGTACACGAGTCTATTAGCACACACTATAGCTAACGCAGAAACTGACGCTTGAATTTCGCGGGGACACGCCCATCTCAATTCCCATTGGTTCGTTCAAATCTTTAAACCCCGGCTATTGGTTGGTCAGTTTTGATGATTCATATGATTTGATAATTCGTTAGAAATGTCATTTCGGTATTTTTGTCATATATCATATGGCTTGATGTATTTGAGGCGGTTATATTATTACAAAATTGAATAATGGAATAAAGAAAAAACATGTAGATATGTGGACAATCTATGACATTAACCATTTCAACTCCATTTTTTAAAATAAAAAAGTCAGATATTCATGTGAGCATTTCAGTGTAAGTTGTTATGAAGATTATAATGCAACAGAATTAAATAGAAAAATTGTGAATTTAATGAAATTTTATTATTATTGTTATTATTATTATTTTATTTTAATAACATTTGGGGAGAAAAGTAGCGTTGTAATTTTTTGGGTCTCACCATATCGTTTTTTTTAATCATTGTAATATTTTCTAACTGATCTCCCTGTTAAGCAGATAAAAGAATTGACGGGAGAGAAGACGCTGGAAGTGCAGTAGCTGTGAGTGACAGCTAAATAATACATTTTAATAATGCAAATATTCCTGTCATGATATCAGCGTTGCATCATATTGCATCTGTTCATGTTTCCAGTATTTAAACATGTGGCTAAATTGTGCAACACGTCTTTGTACATCCTGCCAAAATAAAAATATTTCCTGTGAACTTCAGTCAGAAGACCTGCTGCTGGATTAACTGTTAAACTACATTAGTTCATATTAGTGTTGTAGCCGGGCCTCGGGGCCATGCGCTTAGAATTAGAGAAGATTGCGCGGATCGGGGACATGCTCCACACAGAAGTCAGAGCTCATTTCACACAGCGTGATTGTGAATCGCCGACAGCTCCAGATATTTAGCATGCCAAATATTTTGCAGGCGTCTGCGACGCGTCGACGATTCCCTCAGATCGCGTCTTTGATAATTCACACTGCGTGATTGTCACTCGCGTGAACGAGCACCGATTTGCCTCCGATGTCGGGCATTTGTCGGCGATTTCGCAAAACCTGTCGGCGAGTGAAAAATCGGGCTAAAATCGTGCAGTGTGAACTCGGCATAACAGTTCACCAAATCTGACTCATGTGTTAAAGCAGGGGAATAGTGTTTATAGTTCAGCAAAATGGGTGTGCTTTTTGAAAAATGGCGTTATGGTTTTGAAATTTTAGTTCAAAAGCCTGGTTTTAGTGTTTTAGCAATCGAGAAAAACTGTAAGACAATATATATATATAAATATAGTCTATTTAAGACAATATTGTCTGATTAGACCTAAGATGCAAAATGTTTGTCCTCTCTCTCTTCAGCGTTCCCACATCTCAGATCTCAAATACATAAAGTATTACCCCTTTATACATAGTTTTTGAAGTAAAGAGTAAAGAAAACACTACACAAAATGTTGTGAAACAACCAGGGTTCAGTTGCATAAACTTAGCCATCCTGAAAAGACTGTCTTAAGAACTAGTTTAACCAACTAATCAGTCTTACTTTTCTAATACATATAAGACCAATCTACCTTTTCATAACTGAATTTATGACCAGTCTTGAAGAAAACAAATTAGATTACTAACTTTTTAAGACTAAACACTTTCATCCATAAAAACACTTTCTCATTGGATCTAAGCAAATCTCACGGGTGACCTGTTTTGAGCTCAAAAAAGTGAGTCGTCACTGAAAGATACGATGAGAAACGATGATTGTGCAATAGAGAAATTCAGATAGGCCCAGGAAATATAATTCCCTTATTCCCAAATTATAAAACCAGCTGTATTTTTTACACTTACACTGTGTGAGAAAAACATCAGGCATCGTATTATAAGTATAGCTTAAATAATTACATTCGATTTTTAATTAAATAACAGGCTTTAATATTGCCACTGTTTTAAAGCCAAAGCAAATTAAAAAAAAATATTATCTGGAAATATTTATTTCCTAATAATTTTTTTCTGCCCACTTAATATGAATGAAGCATTAAATTTAGATTTATCTGTGAAGCAACTTTAATAATGAATGTAATTGCAAAGCAACAATAATGTTGAAATTAGTCTCATAACGCAATGCAGTCAGCAAACCTGGAACTACTCTGTCAGCCGATTTTTTTTGTTGTTGACTAGGGAATAGCAAACCACTTTCTTTCATAGTACACCACTGATTCATATACACATGAAATTATTCATATAAACTTGAGATCACTTCCCTTTGGTCCATCTGTAGACCCGCTCGATCACCGTTATTGCAAAACCCTTTACAGACAATGAATACAATATGGAACATATTACACCGATTAAATAAATAATTTAATAGTCAAACTCAGAAAGAAGACCTCTCCCAAAGCACAAAATAACTTGGAAAAATACAGTATAAAAAATCAGCAGTTTCCATTTAAAGAAAAAAAAGTGTAATTTCACAATGTATTTTTTTATGATTCGTTTGAGAAGGACAGGACATAATTAGATGAACAGTTTGAACAAACGGAGTGTCTCCAGCGGTCAGAACTAGAAATAGAGCAGTTCTTGCTCCGCTTTTCATCGAGATACTACAGAATAAAAGAGTTCATTTGACTAGACACGGGATGATCTCTTCCTATCGACGGTCTACCAGACACTGTTCGCTCTGATTGTTCTTATCAGTTTCAAACATACTTGGTATGAAAGCAAAAGATGTGTTTAGAGCTGTTTAAACGCTGCTTGATCTGTGCAGATTTCTCTCCTGATTCAGACCAGAACACTTTTTCACTGGAGGAAGCGTTATTATGGATTATGAACTCTATGTATTTTAGTTAAAAGCATCTTAATGCTGGATGTGTTTCAGCTTTTGTCTTCTCCAGATGTTAACTGATGGACTGGAGTGCTGTGGATTATTGTGATGTTTTTATCAGCTGTTTGGACTCTCATTCTGACGGCACCCATTCACTGCAGAGCATCCATTGCTGAGACACTGATGCAGTGCTACATTTCTACAAACCTGATGAAGAAACACACTCATCCTGATCTTGGATGAACTGAAGGTAAGTACATTTCTAACAAATTTCATTTATGGGTGAAATAGTCCATTATTGTAACATCATGTGACATGTTTACAAAACTAAGTGCCCTACAAATAATGTTTCAATGCATCAGCACAGACTAAAGCGTCTCAGTTCATCAAAATGAAAAGCCATTAAAAACAAGAAACACAAAACAGACACTCACACGGTCTAAATGCATCAAGCAGAGAAGCGCTAATTAATTCAACTTCACCGTTTCTGCCCTCCAAAACCCAAAATTCATTTTCATCCTAATAATTTCAGTGCATATCGTCACCTTCACGAACTGCAGGTCGGCCAGAGCTCGGGTGTGTACTGCAGCTGTGTGCCGCTGATGGACTGAGGCTCTGCGTGATCCGTGTAGCTCAGAGACACCGAGCGGTTCCGTCCGCCGATGCGAGGCGGAGAGCGCAACTCTGAAACACAGCATTATGGGAGAGCAGAGTGAGTAAATGAGCAAAACACAGGCCCTTCATACTTCCAGCAAAGATGCATTATTACTGAAAGATCATGTGGCACTGGAGTAATGATGCGGAGTCATCACAGGAATACATTTATTTTTAAATATATTCAAAACTGTTATTTTAAATCATCAATCTTTCACAAAATTACCGTTTTGCTGCATTTTTGATCAAATAAATGCAACCTTGGCGAGCAAAAAAACATTAGAAATCTTACGACCCCAAACTTTTGAATAGAAATGTGTAAAGCTGAAATAAAAATAAATAAAACTGAATAAAAACAAATAAAACTGAATTTGAGAAAAAATGTAATGTATTTCATAGGGCCTTTAAAAAATATATATTCCTGTTAAATTGTGTAACTTTCATGATTTCAATTCATTAGAGATGCTTTTTGATAAATAAAATTTAATTTAACCATTAAAACTGAAAAATTAAAACATGAAATTAAAAAAATTAAATTAAAAAAAAAAGGGAAAAAAACTGAATTTGGGAAATAAATAAATTAAACCGAATTTGGGGAAAAATAAAACAAATATAGAACTCTGCAATATGATGAATAAAGTTTAAAATTAAATAAAATTAAATAAAATTAAATAAAATTAAATAAAATTAAATTAAATTAAATTAAATTAAATAAAGTTAAATTAAATTAAATTAAATAAAATTAAATAATGCAGCCAACATGCCGTGGCAGGTAAGTTCATTCAAAAATAAAAAATTCTGTTTGTAGAAAAAATCTATTTTTCTACTTCCCTAAATTATGAAAGTGATTTTACAGCCAGAGGCTTACTGCTGAGGTCTGTAGAATTGTTTAAAGTTAATAAGGGACACAGAGATGTGGAAAATGAAGTCAGTCCACAATATCACACTGAATCATGTCCTTCTGCCTCATCAACGCTGTTCATTTCCAGTTAATAATCAGAAAAACATACTCTCATACAATGACGCAGAGCGTTCTCATCTGCTGACAGCTTTTCATTTGCAAAACTGCTGAAACGACTGGGATGTACTTTTTCCTGCTGGCATATAAAGGATCAACAGTTCATAGTTTTTCCATGTTTCCATGCTCCCTGCTCATTTATTCTGTACACGTTTCGTAAATCACAGATTTGAGCCTGGTTTGTATCAATATCATCATCTCCCAGCCAAGGCCAACACAAAGCTATCGAGTGAAAGTGTAGCATCTGCAAGGCATTGATGGAGAGAACTCTACGAGGTTCAGAGAACAGAGTTAAAGGTGCAGCTCAGCCCAAAATAAACACAGAGCCCATTAAATATAAGATATGACTCATATTGGCCACTTTTATGGCTTCACAGCCCCAGTTATCATTCTAATTTGTTGTTTGTTTTTACAGTGGCCAAGATATCCCTTTGTGATTCATAGAAGAATGTCAAAAAATTCAACTCTTTACCAGAAAAATGTAAATATACATTTATAAAAAAAAAATGTAAAATTTTTTTAAAAAAATAAATTCTGTTAAAAT